TTTGTGTCATGTTACTGCAAAAGATAAAAATATCACACTCCACACTTTGGGGCTGTGGATGAATTATAAGGGTGACAGTCAAATCCCAATATTCAGTCACCCAAGAGCTGGTGGTGGATGGTGTTAACTAACTGCCTTCCCTCTAGTCTTATAATTTCCAAATTAGGGATGGCTGGTACAGATAATCCATTTGTTGATTTATGTGAATATCTAAAAACTAACAAATTATAACCTGTGAAAAGTCAGGAGTAGTGCATGCATACATACATACATACATACATACATACATACATACATACATATATATATATAGTTTATATTATTGTTAGTTAGTGTAATTTTGTTATACTGTGAATGTTCTACATGTGTTTAAAAGAAAAAAATATATGGGGTTCCGAAATACATTTTAGTATTATTTCTAGTTTTTGTTCTATTTTTAAAAGTTACTGGCTTTTATTTAATACTTTACAAGTCATACATAGATCTTTTGTGTAAGTTGGTTTTTAGTTAACTTTCTTGTGTATTCTAATTCATAGACAGTATTCTCATTTTATATTTTAAACTTGTTCTAGTTCTCTTCTAATTGTTTATTTTCATATTTTTGTCTAACATGTGTGTATCAGTATGTTACTTAGTATGTTTTTTGACTTAGTAATCTCATTTAGAATATTGAAAATATAATGAATATATATATATACATAAAATTTTTTGATATTTGCTATTTTTTAACCCATAAAACACCATGTAGAGAGAGGAACTGGTATGTCCATTAATTATGCAAAAAATAAAATGTAATTAGTGCGAGTCTATTAATACTTGGAATAAATCTTTGTTTATTTTAAATGTTTAGGAAATTTAGTGCCTTATATTATTGGTTTTTATTATTATGGTGTAATTTATAAAGATGTTGTAATAGTGCCTCTGTCTTTTTTGTTTTGATACTTAGCCTTCACTTTGTTGCTCTTTGAAGCTAATATAATTAAAAGAAACAACTTGTGTGTTTTTTGTAGTTTAACTTCAGGAAAGTAAAAAAATACAATAACAAAAACATCTAAATTATTTTACAATTTAAATACTGAACCCATACCCTTTGTTACTATATATCCTTGATAAGGCTATATTTCTTACATTAAATTCACACTATGATGTTAACAACTTTAAAAATAATTTAGTTTGGGATATTTCTCTGAAAGAGCCCTGAAAGAAGAAACCACTTTGTCTCAGATAAATGTGAAAATGTTGACTGCTTCAATAAAATTTCAATTCAGTTTTAACCACAGTTTAATGATTATTAAAACTTGTTTCTATTTGTAGTAAATTTGTTTTAAAAAAAGATCTTATGCTTGAATAGTGGAAAAACTTTACTAAATAGTTTTATGTAATATCTCAGATATCCTATTTTGTTTAATTGAAACAAAATTGTTTTGTTTTTGTACATTGTTTTTAAATTTTACAAAATTGCATACTTATTCTGTGAATATCTTTCCATAACTCATAAAGCATGATGCTGGTTTAGAAGTTAAGTTCTTGAATATTAAATATATTTCATTGAAGAATTATAAAAATTTTATTTTTAAAATGGGCAGATTATTTTTTCTCAGTTGAAAAAAAAAAAGTGATCTGTCATTTCTTTTAATGGAAAATAGTCATTTTGACTGGATATGGTATATGATTTTTATCCTTATTGTAGATTACAACCTTTGTGTGTGCATTCGCTAGCCCCTTTTTTTTTTGGATGAAGGATCTTGTATTTCAGTAAAGAAATATCATCCTTGCTCCACCAATATCTTATGAGTTTGGTGATTTTGAGATGAAACTTATTTAACTTTAGCATTGCAATTGCATGGAGTTGGAACAGGAGTGCACAACTCAATTTTTTGTTTGGGCTAAGTTGGAATGTGATTGAAAGTTGGTGGGCCATAATATTTCTTCCTCCAAAAACTTTGAGCCCTTTGCATTTTCTACTAACCCTAAAGACTACTTAACAAAATTTCTATTACATTGTGATACAGAAACTCTTAAATTTAACTACAGACTAAAATGGCTGTATTTAACAATTCTGTAAATTACAGTAAAATGTACTCAATAAAAAACAGACCATCTCATGAGATGTGAACAAACAAGTTGCATTAAATTCATTATTTTGTACAACTGTATTCCACTTATAACAATATTCTGTAATGCCTTAATGACATGGTGCTTAAAGCCTATGAATGAAATGGGTAACATTCCATCAAATTTTAAAAAAACTTTGAACTTTGTGCAATATAATTTCATGTCACGGGCCATACAGGCTGTATGTTGTGCACCTCTGAGTTGGAACAATACCACATTTCTATCAAATTACTGTTTAAATAATGCTTTCTTTCATGCTAACTTTCCCAAGAGAATAAACTCTCCACTGTAGTAGTTTTGAGGTATATATCAACCGTTAATAAACAACACTGAACTCACAGCACCAGTCCCTCCAATTTCTGCTTTAGGTGAAATTTTACCATCTTATTATTTAAAGATTGTAGAGATTTGTAAGCTCGATGATTAGTAGCCTTCTGATTTTATTATGGTTATTTTGATTTAAACAGAATTTGTTTGCCATAAAAAATACCTAGAACAGTTGTTGATATAGTCTCAAAATAAGAGTCGGACGTTTTGAGAATTATATGCATTACATGTTTTTTTATCTATGTTTGGATTTTACCATATATACATAAGTTTGTTGTAATGTTAGAGAAGTAACCAGGTCAACACACATGATAACTTGTAGACAGCAGTTAAAAGCTTGCATATATAAAAAGAATATGAATGAAAACCTCTGTAGTGTACTTGTTTATGTAGAACTGTGATTTTTCATATAAACCAAGTTGTGGTCATCAAAATGTGTGTTAAAGTAATTATTTCAAGTTCTCATGTTTGATCCATTTCACAATACAAGCTTAATCTCATTCCTTTGAAAAAAATGTTTTGACCAGTATACTATTGCTGAAATGTTAGTCATAGAATATTAGAACTCTTACTTTAGATTCATGAATAAACAACTATATGGATTGCAAGACTGATTAAATGATGGTTGTATCTGTCAACAAAGACTTTATTGGTTTTGACAAGTTGCATTAATTTTTTTATATATGCAAATTTATAAGCAGTGCAGTTTGCAGAAATTCTTCATAACTTTTCTCTAATTTCTGTAAAAATATCACATTTAATGTTATCTGTTTAGAGATATGTAAGTGGTTCAACTATTACTGGACATGTGAAGTCTATTTTTTTGGTGTTTATTTTTTGTCATGATTGCTGTAAAGAAGAGGAGGTTTTCTGATTAACTTCTAGTTAGTGGATTTTTATTCAAGTAATGTTCTGTTCTATTACATGATTATTTCCTTTTATTTTAGTACTAGTAGTTTAATATTAAAACATTGGTTTAAAGTGAATAACCATTCCCCTTTTTATTTTTGTTTGTGGGAAAAAGATATAATTTTAGCCATTGTGTTAAAAACAAGACAAATAGGAACATCTATACAATATGTTGGATTTCCTAAGGAATTAAAGAATTTGATTTCTCTTTTGACAAAAAAAAGGTCAGGCCTTATTTTTATTCATTGAAATAATTTGGGTTTTAATAAGCTATCTGCCTGCTATCAAACATGAGATGATGACAAAGTTTCAGGAACATTTAAGTTGATATAACCATCTTTTAGTAAGAGTAATCAGTTGAAGAAACATATCATCTGTTACAGAAGTCATGCCAATAAATGAAGTGATGAGTAACAATTTCTCCTTTCTTAATACTCTCTGCACACTATTTATACTTTTGATGATGATATCATTAAAAGTATTGGTGTTAAGTGAAAAAGTTGAAGGAACTGCTTTTCTTACAAAAATAACATTTTTGATTGAAAACGTTCAATACAAAAGATTTTGGTTTCCACATTAATTCTTAGATTTTTTAATGTTTACTTTTAGCTCTTAAATTCATGTGTTACAAGTTTAATAATGAGTCTTGATTTAAAACATTTAAGCTGCTGTTTTTTTTTTAGTAAGAAATTTGTATATTTTAATTGAAGACTAATGTTGATGGGAAGCAGGCACGTGTGTTTGCTTCTTTGATGTCCAAAATTAAACATTTTATAACGTGATTTTTGTGGATTTTGATGAAATACTTGTTTGGTTAATGAGAAATGTGTTATAAGTGAATTGTTATTTTACATTCTTGGCTGTGGGATTCAGTGAAGTTTTTCATGTTGAAAATGGGATTTCAAGTGATAAAAGAACAGAAGTAATGCTAATTTAAACTGTTTGTGATGTCTGTATATTTCACAGGTTGTTTAGTGAGTTACAATTCAAATATAATTGTGGATTTATGTCAGATATTTGACATATTTATTGTAGAGAAATTTGTTTAAAATAGTCTAGTAGTATTATAATACTCAAGTTTCTCAATAAGCCACACTTTTAAATAGACAGCAGCGAGCTATATGTGATAATATCCCATTTTAGCATCAACAGATTTGTATCAGTAAATTGACAATAAAGATACTACTCAAAAGAAAAATGTGCCTTTTTCAGTGCCATTGTTATTATATATATTGTTCTATCTAAGATTGGCGTGAAAAGTTAGTACTTTCTTTTATTCAGAGATTAGAAAAACTTAAACTCATTATTTTGAAAAAAATTGATAAAGCTGATGAAATAATGAAATTCATTAGACCTAATTAATTTTATTAGATCATTACTGAAAGAAATCTGGATAAATAAACAATCCACTTGAGTCTGGGATTTCTAACTAAATAACACTTTATGTATAATTGGCCACATTGTAATGAAGACCCTTCACATTGTTAATATTTATCGAGAGGCATTTTGTATAGACTTTTTTTGGGAGTCGTAGCAGGTATGGGTATCAGAGCAAGAGTTACTGCATTCTCAGCTTTATTCCATCAATTTTTCATAAACATTTAACCAATATCTAGATTGTTACATAACAGTATCATCATTTGTTACAGGTGCCCCACCTGACATGGCAAACTACATGCCTCTATACTCTGAAGAAGTTGATGTAGAAATCCTTCGTCAGCGGCACCCTAGTGACAACTCAAGCACATCTCATGATGGCAGCCAGAGCATTCATAGTGGCCGATCAGGTAAAGAACTTTTAGGATCATCTCCTTTCACTCGAGCACCAGCAGAAGACAGGTCAAAGTATGAAAAGCTATTAAACTTTGTGGAGGAGGAAGATGTCCAGAAAAAAGTTCCTTCTCAGGATAAAAAAAATATCCAAGAAGACAATGATTCAATTGGGTCAGCCAGTGACCTGAGGGCACAAGTAGATTCAAGTGGAGATGAAGATGAAGGTTCATCTGAAATGTCACTTGATGGGGATGTGAAGAAAGAAAAGATTTGTTTAAAAATCCCCGGAGATAAGCTTGTGACTGGAGATTCCATACCAAAAGAAAAACAAACAAGGAAGGCGAAATTGAGTATGTATCTTATCAAGATGTCTTCATTGGTCATACAGATGGAGACAAGCCTCTCTTAGAAGATGAAGAGTTCTCTGACAATGAACAAAAACAGGTTACCACTTGTAAGGTTGATTCAAAAGTTGAGTTAACATCTAAACCTGCTGGAAAGATACTTACACCACCATCATCTCCAACACAGGGGAAAAAAAGAAGTAAAGATGTCTTTAGGAAAATTACAACTGGTATTTCACCAGAGGCACCTCTAATTAATAGTGAACTTCCTGGAAGAATGGATGTTTTTGCATTGGCTCCCTTTAGGAAGCGATCTGTAAAAGCTAAAACAGAGAGTCAAAAGATACAAATGAAACAGCCAAAAGATAGTTTCATAACCAATGTTAAAGAACCTGTTAAATCACCCACTCTTGAGTCTTCCAAAATAAATGAGATTAAAGCAAAACCCCAAAGCCCTGACAATGGAAATATAAATAATTACAAGCCTTCAATTTCATTCACTAGTGACATTGGTGATAGCTCTTCAACCATAATTTCAGCTTCAGCTAAAAACTGTAACTTATTTGGTTGTGCTCCATTTTCCATTCCCAAAGTAGTGACACAAGATATCATCTCTGTGCATGGAGGTCATAACGTTCAACAAGAGCAGCAACAGCAAACGTCTAAGCAATCTCTTAATCAACCGGGATTTGCAACTTCAGTATCCTTTACTTCATTAACATGCGATTCCTCAAGTGCTAGGCCAGTAAAGATTACTTCTGATCAGGTATCAAGTTTCATTCCAAAAAGTTCCATTAGAGATCAGCAAAAAGAAAATATGTTTGGCCCATTAGTTAAAAAATCTGGTGGTAATGCTACAACACAGTCTTTCTCAAAGAGTAAGGTTACTCTTCCAAGTTTTTCTGACACTGCATCCCTCAGCAGAAATGAAAAATTAAGCTGTAAAAGCTCTTCATCTTCCCAGAGTTCAGACACTGGTGAAGAAGAGGGGTTAACACCAAGAAAACCAAAAAAAGACAAAAACAAATATCACTCATTTCAGGAAAAAGATGTGTTAGCTGAGAAAGAAGGTTTTTCTGGCATTCCTGCAAGACATTTTCATACACCAGGTAAAAATAGCAAGAAGACAAAGCAGTATAAGAAAAAAGAAACCACTGACAGCAATGCTTTTGCAAATATGAGCTTTGAGGACATTGGAAGTGATGAAGATAAAAATGTCAGTACTGTAAACCCATCTTTCATGGGAGATTCTGATGTTGGAAAAAGTGGTTTTCAATCAAGTGGTTCAAGATCTCTGAAAATTTCAAAGTTAAACAAATAACAACAGTGATTTTATAACTAAATTATCTGTTATAATATTTTTTTCTAACCTTGTGACAGTGATGTTACTAGAAAATCAAGGATTAAGGATGTGACTTACCCACAACAGTTTACATGTGCAAAAGGGTGATGATCATGATATTGTTTTTATTATCGTTAATGTTATTAATGTGTAACTTAGAGATGTATAGATTACATAGTTCTATTTGAAAACTTCATAGGTTTATATGTTGCTGAGCAACCTGTAGTGTAGTTTTGCTGCAGTAAAAAAAAACGAAAACCATGACACACAATTTAAATTGCAGCTAATATCTAATGTCATTGTGTGTGTATATATATATATATATAGAGAGAGAGAGAGAGAGAGAGATATC